CAAAGTGACAAAAAAGAAAAAGATGACACTGAACAGTTTCATTCATGAGAACAAACCAAAAAATAAAAAACAAGCAAAGATAACACCTAACCAATCAGAGGGGTACGGTGCCCACCTGTCAAAAGTCTAATTGCTCCCCAACCTACTCGCAGGGTTCGTGTGCAAAGGACTCGTTCACAAATAGCACAAACACGGACTGCTGACACTGGGGTATGCTCTGGGTGTACAAAGGTGAGCTAGAGGGAAAGTTCAAAAGCCACCTGACTTCCACTGTCCCCTGCCTCACATACGCAATGACCCTTAAGCTAGCGTACAAGAATTTAGTGATGAGATCCCGAGACACAAGCACAGGGTAGGAGTGTTTGTCGAGGTAGAAGAGAGATTGTGATTGACTAGTGATGTCTGCCAGGAGCGCAGCAAGGGCAGGGGAAGGGGGCAATAAAATCCAGGTGTCCACCACACTTGCTACCCATGATTTAGGTCAAAGGATGGATGCTCTGGGCAGGTGTCCTGTGAACAGATGTCTAATGGGTGAAAAGTTTACTCCACAGTGAATTGGTATGTCCAGGAAAATGCACGTGTAGTCCCAGAAGGTGCTCAGAGAGGAATGGAAAATATCTGCAATATAAATGCAGATTACCTTTATTACAAAGTTGGATCATATTCTCATTCCAAGACTAATTTCCTATATCATAAAACCTATATTCAATTTTATAAATAGCATACACCAAGAATCATAAATTCAGTTTATGCAGAAATTTAACAGATTTTTTTTTTAATAAAAGTGAGAAAAGGCTGCTTCAGAACAAGTATCAGAAAGGACAGAAAGGGCTCTTTTTTGAAGACGTGTTTCTCTCTGACTCTCCCTCCTTGGGGACACAACTAGAGAAGAAATAAATTTCACAGCTAATATATATGAAGTAACATGTTCAACATTATCCAATGAATTTATATCTACCTACACCATATAAATTTATCTCACATAAACTGTCACCCTACAACAGAATTCATTAAAACAATGTTAGAGCTTCTGAATTAAATGCAATCTTCTAATTGGGATTTAATCTCACAATAGTAGTTTGTGGGTTTTCTTTTTTTTTTTAATTGACAAAAGGAATCATTCATTAATTTGTGTTAAGGTTCATTCTGAAGAAGAGGAAAGCAAACTGGGCCTCCCCCACTGCTGGGGGAGGCTGGGGTGGCAGACGGGGCTGGAGGTGGGCCCTATGTTCCCTCCTCTCCCCCTGCACATGGGCAGGACAGAATGGGCGCTCTCAGCATCCTGAATCACTGCATTACTAATATATTCCATTACCTCTGCACAAATGTCATGTTAATTTCTGATCTTCATCAAGCCAGACAATGGTTTCCACCATGGGCCCCCAGCCAATTAGCTAGTGGAAAATATGTAGCCAATTACATTACGTGTATTAGGTTAGGGACTGGAGAGAAGAGCAACATAAACGCCTCAGAAATACTTGGGAGATAAAATGTAAGTTGACACTGTCTTCGCACGCTGGGCCCGAGTCATACAATCTGAGAGGCAGCTGCCGGCGCTCATAAGTGCTTATTAAATCTAGCCTCTTCTTCATGGGGAGTGAAGATCTGTATTTTTACCAATATTAGGTTCATTGTGTTATGAAAGAGACCAAAATACTTAAGATCATTCGCCCCAGCTTATAAGACATATTAGGTAGCTTATTAAATTGTTAAAATTACTTTTTCAAAGTCAGAATTTCAGGGACTAGAAGTCCAAGCACAACCAAGAAGCTTGGATCATTGACCAGTAACAGCCCAAGGAGACCAGAAGGGGAGTCCTAGAGTGCACCCCAGTTCCAGAGCGGCCAGCCACACCCACCTCCGAGAGGCTACACGGCCACCAACCTATTCCAAAAATGATAAAATTAAAAAAAAAAAATCCAAACTCTCAAGCTGTGTTTTAAAAAGCTAAATCTGAGGAAGAAAGGAGGAATATTTCCCCTTGTGCCTGCCTCCTCCTAGTAAGTTAAAAGCCAGGAATGTGACATGAGAAAGAGCCAAAAGAGACACTGTGGGCAACTCGAAACCAAAATGTCAAGTGACACTTACACCCCACAGCAGATCCACCCACCGGGGACCATTTGTGGACAGGGACGATACAGTGCCAAGGCACAGCCCACCACACAAGTGAAGCCCCGGCCACTGTCCATCAGCACTTCTCAAGAACACTATGCAAATACACGGCAGTTGTCACACTTATTAATAACCCTGTGGCTGACTGCCTACTCAATATGCAGCAGACGCCCCTGCACCTCACTCCTGGAGCCTTGTGATACACATCAGGCACCAAGTTCAACTCCAGCTCCACTCCAGGGAAATGGGCGGCTGCTCCACTGACCTGCAGGTGCTGCTGGCCTGAAAGCAGCCCAGCACCCCCACAGACCTGAGGGGCTTAGCCCTTCTTACCCAGTTTCCTGGCCCCGAGTTAACTCATGACACAGGCATATGCTTATCACCAACGAAAATCGAGGACGTTACCCATCTTCTAACCTTAAAATTCTTGCCATGATGATCTCTTTGTGCAAACCTTTTATCTCACAGTTTCACCCCCTGCATCAGAGCAAGGTGATTAGCTGTTCCGGCTGCCACCCCCGTGACGCTGACCCACGCCACCACGAGGACACTTTCAATGGGACGGACGCCTTGCTCAGAATGAGAGTTTATTTCAAGCCTCAAGACTCCAAATTATCAGCTCTAACAATTAACTGGGGGCTTCCTAGGGTTCCTCAATAAACTGCAAAGGGAGCACAGTACTTGGCAAAGACAGGGCTGCCCAGCCATCAGAAACCGGAAGCACGGGGAAGGAGTATGGGGACAGATCCTGGCACTGTGCCTTGAGGGTAAAAAAAATCAAGGGGACAATTTAAAAAAACAAAACAGAATACACAGCTCATAGGACTTCAGGTACCTCTGCTTACTACTAAAAACACAGTGAAAGGAAGTTTATTACAGTCTGATAAATACAAAGCACTTCCTTACTTGGGGGAAAAACACCTGGTATTCAACTGGGTCTAACGATATGATTTTTTGTTGTTGTTTTTCAAAAGCAATATTTTCACTACAGTTCTTCAGACTGATTTTTCCGATAGTGGGTCTTACCCAATTGAAATTCATGAGTACACTGGGCTGCTACCAAATAAATCCATTCATGTGGTTTTGTTGAATTTCATACATCCATTTTCTGACACTGGGACTGAGTCAGACTGTTTCGATACTAAGGACAGAAATGACAGGTAACTGAGTGTCTGAGCCTGCAGCTCTTTCGATACCTTCCAAATTCCAACCACTTCTATGAACTCTCGTGGGCACACGAGACAGACTAGGGCTTTGTTCTCAGCTCCCCCTGGATCCCTAAAGACATGAACTTCCCTGATGTGTGCTCTGCTCACTCCCCTACAGACCATGCAGGCAAGTCTATCACGGTGGTGGAGCGATGGAAATCCCCCAGGCACACAGGTGGGAACACACCCAGTAAAACCACCCAGTAAAAGGACAGAAGACCTCACACCCCTCCACTCCTCCCCTCGCCACTTCTTGTCACCGTAGACACCCTTGCATGGGTTACGGTTTGCCTTAATAAAAGAAGGATTCCTGAGAAGAGGGTAAAAGACTGGATTTTTTTCTCCTCCATCTTTTTGTCCAGCAGAATGGAATGGAAACCACAAGTGGCCAGACAACAAACTGGCTGACATGGAAGATAAAGTAAAAGTCAATGGCTGCTTGGGGACCACGGGGTCTCTTGTATTGGGGGCCAATTACTTGATCCTGCTCCTTTTCACCTGGTAAATGGGAGGGATTGCTCAAAATGACCTAGAGCTGTAAAATCCTGAGAAGTTTGGCTCAAATATCTAAACACACAATAGTATCTTCCAGAGACTTCCATCATGAGAAGGGGCTCACTGATCCCATGGGCTGGATACCTTATCTTTGTAAATGAGATAAGCTAAGAAGAACCAGGTAACTGAGGTCCATTACTGACCCAGGGCAGGGACTCAGACATCGCAGCTGGACTCCATGGAGAGTTCCATCTGTAACCATGGTGAATCCCTTTTAGGGCCCTGTGTTAGCACCCACAGGACAGGACTCTGCATCCCATGTCCTTTGTTTTAAACACAGGGATGGAAGAAAAGGAGGACTTGTTATCTTCATGTCAGGCCACTATGAGGTCCCAACTTCCAACAGGTGCCTAAGGCCTCACTGAACTTCCTTACAGGAAGCAGAATATGCTCTGAATCCAACTCCACACTCGCAACAAGGCCAGTGAATGCTAAAGGTTCCTCCCATGGAAGCCTCTGCACATGGAACTTGCCAGGTAATGGCTCTCCAGGAACCTGGCCTCACTCTATGGCAAAGGTGTCCCTGAATGACGTTAGCGTTTTCACCCACAAAACCCAGACTCCCCCAGTGACGGCCACTTGTAAGGACCAGTCAGAATGGCCCATCGATGGCTGAAGCACATTATCGATGCGACTGAATGTGGGAAATAAATATACAGGACAGAAAAATGGTACAGTACCTCTTTTAGCCCCCCAAATTCAACAAATAACCTGGTGAGGTATACCAATGGGAAACCAAAGCCTACGGTCTTTAAGAAAAATGTGGAGAACCTGAAATTTCCCACCCTCAGCTTCCTCAAGAGCCATCTTCCCAGAACTCACGTAGGAAGTTACCATGGCCTTCATGGTGGCTCACGAAGAAGCCGTTCCTTCAAGGTGTATGCCCATGGTGCATAATTCAGGGAGTCTACCCTTCAGAGTATGATTAAGATAAAAAAGAAAGCATTTTTTTTAAAGTCCCCCTAGTCCTGTTGTGCTTCTTACAAATCCTCAGGTCCATGAAGGATTCTCCGAGAAGACTGTGTGTGTGAGAAAACAGAGGCAGGCTGTCCTCCTCAGGGGGCAGCCGTCCTGCGGGACCTGGCTTGTGACTTTTCGGATGAATAGTGACCAACATTTACTCACCCTTCTGGCTCACAGGCATCACATCCGTCCAGTCATGGCTGACAGCAAATCAGAGAAGGGACTGAAGCTTTACCATTGCCAGAATGTTCCGTGGGGAAACTGGAATCGTCAGCAAAAGTTCCTGGGACACTACAATACAAAAATATTTTCACACGTAAGTCAGATGTGACTTCTAAAACCACCACTTCCTTCAACGAGAAAGCAGCAAAACAGACAGTGAACCCAGAGTGGGGGGGAAACACCGTCCCCACAAGGGGGTGTCAACACTTCAAGCGCGATGCTGCCCAACAGGAACCGGAACCACGATTTCTGAAAGATGCACATACCATGACTTCAACGCAGACACGGAGAGCCCGTCTCCACTGTGGACCGTGTACAAAATGGTGTTAATATTTGGGCATTTTAGCTACATCCTATCCTATTACCAAGCATTTAGGTAACAATAAGCTGTTAACTTGGATTAATAAAAGCAGCATTTCTTAATGATCTTTCCCAAAAGATAAAAATAACTGAAAATGTTACAAACTAATGATTTTCAATTATTTTTATTTATTTTTGAAACCGAGGATTGAACCCGGGGCACTCAACCACTGAGCCACATCCCCAGCCCTACTGTATTTTATTTAAAGACAGCATCTCACTGAGTTGCTTAGTGCCTTGCTTTTGCTGAGGCTGGCTTTGAACTCTTGATCCTCCTATCTCGGCCTCCCGAGTTACTGGGATTACAGGCGTGTGCCAACATGCCCGGCTAAAATTATTTAAAAATAATAATGAACACTAACACTGGTAAGAGAGGCAACCCTCACAATATTTTCCTCCAAGATAAACTTTTAGTCTACAAGTGGTTACAAACTCCACAGGGATGGAAACGCATGCAGGTATTTCCACTGAGAGAGAATAGACTGTGGAAGAGACAGGGCTGAAGGCTGGGAGGCTTGACTTCCACCCCAAGTACTGACGTCACCCAGTGTGTGGCCAGGTGGATGCTCCTACCTCAGAGCCTCTTTCTCATCCTTCAGCGAGGCATTACCAGCGCCAAGGCCCTTCCACCCCATGCCCCTCTGCCCTTCTTGATACAGTGCAGTTAGAGAGTCTAAGTAAACATTTAGCTTCTCACTTAAACTTCCTGATGAAAAAGAGGTTTATACCATAAACCAAAGATGGGCCATGGCAAAGAGTTGCACAGCACCGAGAGGCATTATCTCTCTGGCACTAGTGCCCAGGGCTGAAGAGATGGCAAGGGGGACAGTACCCTCTGGGTGCTTGTGGAAAGCTTCCATTCCTCTCCAGAGAGCACAGCTCTCACCCCTGTGGAAACCTGTCCAAATGGATTCGAGACCAACGGTTCTCAAACTTCACCTCGCAGAAGACTCACTTGCAGAGGTTTTCGAAATACACATTCTGGACCACTCCCAAGGATTCTGTACTTTTAGAAAAAAAAAAAAACCCAGGGGATGCTGCTACTGCTGATCACAAGCCACACTGTGAGCCTTAATGACAAGCCCTGTCCTCCAAGCCCCCAAACAGGCTGGAGACCCAAGAAGCACTTCTGAGGCTCAAAGAGGCTCCCCCAAAGTTATGGAGTCCATGTCACATGGCAAGAAGACATGGGCTGAGAGCATCCACCACCTTTTGGATAAAATCCCAACTTCTTTCTGTGACCCAGAAGGCCCTACATGACCTGGTCACTCTCTGCTTCCCTGATGTGACCTCAAACCACCAATTCAACCCCTGACCATAAGCTGTACAGATACAGTGGGCTGCCCTCTGCCTGTCTGCCTTCCTGCCTCAGTCTACCAGCCTGTACCTTACCCAACGGGCTCCTTCTCATCACAGGGTCTCAGCTGCTTCAAGAGCCCTGTCCTGCTTACCTCTTAAAGCTCTGTCCCCAGTGACTCTCAACTACATGATCCTATCTGTGTCCTCGAGAGCGCCTGCGAGTGTTCCAGCTCCGTGGAACGTGCTTGTCTAGCACGGGGAAGGCCCTGGGTTCCATCCAGCACCGCCGCTCTTGAATAGTCTGTGAACTTGTTCTTCACATACAGTCCTGCCTTTCCCTCAGACTATGAGCTCCGTCCTGTTCCTCGCTGGACTCCAACACTTCAGACAAAGGCCTGGCTCCCGGGAGGCACGCCATCTAACACTCTGAGTCCACAAATGATCCAAAATTAATAGATGTCTGCATCATCCTCCAAAAATAGAACTTCCATTTATGGAGAAAAAAAACACAGTAGGTGCAGGAGACTGTTGGAAGGGTTTCCTAAGTCATTTCATTTCATGTCCCTCATGCACTGTGACTCCTAGCAGAGACAGCAGTTATGAGCTCTGCAGAGCACAGCACCAAGGCACAGGGCTTCAGGGGTTCGACCATATACAGCTTGCTCTCCAAAGAAACCCACGTTCTCCACTCACTAGTGAACGAGAAAATTCCAAGCGCCCATCTCCTGCTAGACAGACGTCCCCGAGCAAGCTCTGGCTTGGGAGGCCAGTAGAGACAACAGGCCCTTCTCATACAAGGAAGGCTAAGGCAGCCGGCAGTGACCAGACAGGTGACGGGGATTGTGGGGTATGGGCCAGGTGTAAGGTGGCAGGACAGGTGAGGAAGGAGAGCTGGACAGCCCTGCTTCTCCAGCATGGGGCAGCCTCTGCACTACACTGGCCAATGGCTGACACAGAGAAATACACCCCGGGGCACCGCAAGGTCCCAAGTCTACAAACAAGGACAACAAACCAAATTTCAGGTTAGTGAAATGGCAGAACTTTTTCCAAAGATGGCAGCTCCCTCTCTTGAACAGTTTACATCAAAAAAAAAAAAAAAAGACAAAACTTGCAACCCCTAAAACACTGACGGCTGCAGTCACTCCTCCCCTGACCCAGTCCTGTAAGTCTAGAGAACTCAGAGACACAGAGGAGCTGGCATCCAGGCAGATAAGGGCTTTCTAGAATCATCTTGAGCAACTTCTGGAAGGACCTGGAAGACTGGGTAGGAAAAGCATTCTGCAAAGTGAACCAGATATCTATAGGCCTGGGAGAGAACAGCTAGTGGGGGAAGAAGGCAGGGGGATGTCCCACAGGGGTCCAGTGTTCCCAGCGGACAAGAGCAGAGGCAGCCTTCCTGCCAAGACGCAAGCTGTGACCAACAGCGTTGTCTTGCTTAACTTCCAACAGTACAGGGACCAGGCACATCCAAAAATAAACTGCCAATCGCCATGGAGGTTTGTGGAACATTTTAGTTTTGTTTTTGTGTGTTTTGTTAAGAACCCAAAAGACACAGGCCTGAATTCCATCTTTTAACTGCTCTGAGTTCTAGAAATGAAAAATACAGCAACCAAAGAGAGACAGATATCCAAATAAATTATCCCAGAACATAGCTCAGAGGCAAAAGCTGTCTACCTGGAATTGTATACCCAGAAAAACTATCTTTCAAAAATGAAGATGAAATCTCATTTATCAAAAGTGAAGATGAAATAGAGTTTTTCCAACAAAAAGAAGTTGACTCTCTAGAAGGATATCCTAAAAGATGTATTTGTATTTCAGGCCTAAAAGAAAAAAAAAATTCAGAAGGCAATTCTCTTACTAAAAAAAGGAGGGCCAGAACAATGGGGATATTTGTAAGCAAACAGCAGGTAGATTCATTAACAAAAATTAAACACAATAATGGACAGTGCAGTGGCACACATGTGTAATCCCAGCAGCTTGGGAGGCTGAGGTAGAAGGATCACAATTTGAGGCTAGCCTCAGCAATTTAGTAAGGCCTTAAGCAACTTAACAAGACTCTGTCTCAAAACAAAATACGTAAAAAAAAAAAGAAAAGAAAAAGAAAAAACAGCTGGGGAAGTGTCTCAGTGATTATGCACCACTGGGTTCAATCCATGGTACCAAAAAAATAAAATAAAATAACAACTTCTCTGGCAGATTCACTTTCTATCTTAGCTCACAGCCCTGGGCTGCAAAGCTCAGCTGGGTACCAGCCTGAAATGCAGACTGTCCAGGGAATCCCAACAGGTTCCAGAAATCTGCATGTCCACCAGACACCCCTGGAGACTGTGGTGAAGACCTGAAGAGCACAGCAGCCTCTCCTGTGCACCAGGGTGAGGAGCTGCTGGGCCCTGGGAGGTGCAGATGGAGAACACCAGGCAGCCTTTGTTCTCCTCCCCCTCGCACAGCCCAGGAGGACCAGGCCCAGAGAGGTCAGCCGCAGCCCAGCCTCCTACCTGCTCATCAAGAGCAGGCAATAAATTAAAACCCCATTAGAATATTTCAGAGAAAAGCTGAGAAGTGCTGAAACATTAATTGTGCCATATTCAATCTGTTTTCCTACAGATCTGAAAAGCCCAATTACCATCCTGGGGGTCATTAGAAGGAATGAGGTTTTTTCCCTTTTCAATTTACATGTTTAAAAATGCATACATACATATATCCTGGCCCTGGCCACTAACTCCCTTCCTAGGCTCTCCAAGTGCTCTGGCTCCTCCAAATGCCACAGGGTAGCCACAGAGAGAGACTCTTCTGGGAAGCCACAGGGGGATGCTTTGTTTTTTTAAAGCCAGGGAACCAAAATCCCAGGGCCTGTGCTTGCAAAACAGCTCTGGGGAAACAGGTAGAGGCAGCCACACAACAACAGAGCTGTTTTCTTGTTTTGTCTCCCCTGTTTATTTTCCCTGAAGCAATCCAGGCTCAGCACAGAGTCAGCAGGGAGCTGCAAAGAGCAGCTGTGGTTCCCTGAGGCCAGGACCTAGCAATCAAGTTGTTTACCAAACACTGCCAGGCACTGGGAAACAACAGCACAAGCAGCCCTTGCATCTATTTTTCAAAAAAAAAAAAAAAAAAAACCTCCCCAAATCTGTGGCTGCCCTGGAACTTCCCACATGGCTGAGAGGACAACTTGAGATCAGGGGATGAGCTGCACTGGGCACAGGCCTCCATGGTCCCCATGTGATCCACTTCTATGGAAGAAATCCTAGCCTGAGAGAGAGGGCTGGGCGTGTGCAGAATTTCAAGGCCTGGGTGGACATGAAGGGGCCTTTCCAAGCACATTTGCTAAGCCTACAGGATCCGGAGTCATCCACTGTCCACCCAGAGGAAGAACAGAGTCCATGGGAGAGTTTGCAGAGCTGATGTAGCTGCAC